TGGGCTCCAGAGAAGGCTCTGCACGCTGCGTCTATCCCTCCCCAGCTAGGACCTTGGTCATATTTTTTCTGTGCTGACTTAACTTATGCAACCCCCAAAGAAACTTAATAAGTACATTACATTACAACTATGTAAATCACAATTTGTTAGGTCTTCTATAATAATGAAAACAGTTCACAAACCTTCCTCTGGGCTACCATTATAGTAGCTGCAATCACTTATCAGTGGATAGACAGCTGATCAACGCAAAACTTAAGTGTTCTGAAAATGAACGCTACTCGCGGTGTTGACATATCTGTAAGAAAATTCTCTTTTCTCATGTTCATTTGAAATTAAAATTTTTTTTTCCAGATTCAATTTTTAAAATCCTCTTTTATTAGTGAGATGTAACTTCATTAGCTTTCAGAATCATTCCTGAATGCTAACACTACATCCATACTACATTCATCAAGTTGGATGTAAAAATAAAAATTAAATATAACGTTTTTGGATGTATAAATAAAAATATCTAGTCAAAAACTTATTTCTAGGGGCTGGGGAGATGGCTCAGTACAATAAGCGCTTGCCTGGCAAGCACAAGGGCCTGAGTTCAATCCCCGGTTCCGCTAAAAAAAAAAAAAAAATTAAATACTTTTTTAAACTTTTAAATTAGAAATCTTAAAAACAAGCCCCTAAGATCACCAGAAATAGAGGGGACAAAAAGAAAAATCTAAGTAATATAAACATAAAAAAAGAAACAACTATGAAAAGCAGAAAAACACACCCATTAACGTGCTAGCTATGCTTTGCCTGGACCAGGGACAGCAACCCTGCTGTAGCGTTTCAGTGATACACACAGCTGCCGAGTGACTGGTGCACCACCACGGGCCTAGACCATGCTGGGTGGCTGCTTTCTCACCAGACTTTATCTACAGACTTGTTGAAACTACGGTATTCTCATTAGCATTGGATCACTTTGCCTACATGGAGCTTATTTCTGCAAGTACTAAAACAGTTTAAGGAATTTGTTGAATAAAGTCTTTACATATGATACTGTCCTGGAAGTTTCAAATGCTTCCTGCCTCCTATGTTGGAAATAAGTTTTTGCTGACATATTAATTCCTCTAGTTTAACTAAAGAGCACTTTATTTTATTTTTTGCAGAACCAGAGATTTGAACTCAGACCCTTGCGCTTATTCTACCGAGCCATTTCCCTGGCCCCTTTAAGAGCACCTTAAAATAAGATGTGAATAATAAAGACAAAATTTTAAAGTCCCAGCACTAGCACTTTTACTTGTATTAGCTTACTTCTTTCATGGGAAACTAAAGTAGTTTATTTCTCTCTAGGAGTAGAGAGGGACAGGTTTGATACTCCTGACCTCATTATGATAAAAACACAGTGCTAGAAAAGTGGGCCTGTAGTATCACTTGTAAATCTAGGGCAGGTCAGCATTTCCTACCTAGTTTCTATGTGTAAACCACTATTGTGCCTCAAGATGAAAACATAGAGATGCAGTAATGACAGCCCGCAGGGGCCGGTGAGATAGCTCTAGTAGCCTAAGCACCTGCTTAGGCAAGCTTAGGCAAACACAGGGACTGTGGTCCGATTCGCCAGGATGGGCTGAGCCAGCCACAAAAAGAATAAGTAAATAAATGTATGTTAGCCTGCAAATGAGTGTGCACACATGCACACTATGACACCCACTTGCTCGAGATACGTGACTAGATTGACTGAACGCCTGTGGGTAATGAATATCGGGACTAGTAGACACAGACATTTGACCCAGATAAATGAACATTTCTTGTCATCTGGAACACGAGGGGCCTGGATTAAATAATCACTTGATCTCACCAGCCCCATTTTTACAACTTACAAAATCCTCTATTTATACTTCCCAGGTAAGAGCTTCCATGGCTGTGAGTAAAGCCAGGAGCAGGTGTTCCTCAAATTTATTCTCCACTGGCAGCATTGGTGGTCATCTGTATTATTATTTTGTTGTTAAAAAAAAACACATGTAAAGTTATGATAGAGTAAAAAAGCTGCTTCACACGACTCCTTGATAAAATGATTTGACGAGAAGGTATGCTTAAGGACAAAGAGCAAATTCTGCACTGAAAAGAAGTATTCTGACCATGCAATCCTGAAATGACGAAGACTGATAAAAACAGAAAACCTTGTGAACACTAGGTAATGGATGTGGTATAAGCCCTGGCTTTTCACTGCAGTTCTTGGGACTTTTAATAGCAAATAATGCTCCCAAATTTGGACTTAACTGCTCTGGAATCTATGGTTTCTCAAAATTCCCTGGAAGCTTTTCCTTGCAAACGGAGTTATGCACACTTTGCTGAGTGATCAGCATCCTCAGCAGATTCCTATTCGTCTAACATAGTAGTTTTCAAAGTGAAGTTCAATGAATGCTTCTTCCATGAGTTCATTATGTCAAAAGTAATTTTATAATACTAAGACGATACTTGCCTCTCTACTGTGATAACTGCTTTCACCGACAAAGCAAGGGGAATCCTGACAGCAGACCACCTTAACCTTCCCTCCATGCTGAAGAGCTCTGGCTTTTCTCCTTAACCTCCCAGGGAACTCATGGCATCATTGCATAGTTGGAAGGACACAGGATTTGGTGATGAAAGTAGCTGTTAGGTTTAAATCTTAGTCTGACTATTTATGAACCACATGGACTTGGATAAAGCACTGAAGTTTTTTTCATAGGTAACATATAATCAATAACATCTTTATAAGACGTGTGAGGTTTTTTTTCTTAGAGTACTTAGAACAAATCTACTTATGAGGCTTAAAAAAACCTTAACAATCTAAAACAGTATCCAAGAAAAAGTTTTTTTAAATGTATTTAGTACAGGGTCTATAAGATCTCGCTACACAGGTCAGACTCTAAGTGATCCTCCTGTTTTCAGCCTTCAAAGTGCTGAGATTATAGGCGCACGCCACCACGCCCAGTCTCAATGGTCATCTCAGTGCACTCCGGGGGTGGGGCCAGCAGGGCACACGGGATCAAACCTCAGTCCCTGTTCCTGCCTAAGCAGATGCTTTAGTCTGCTGGGCTATCTGGCAGGCCCTAGGAAAAAGTATTGTCCTAATTCCTCTTTGACATTACCAGTTGCTTGTATATCCTTCCACAGCCATTCTAGATGTATGGAAACATATGTGGCCCTAGGTATCTGCGGATTCCGTATCTACAGATACAACCAACCATACACTGGCAATATTGGGAAAATTGCTGCACATCTGTAATAAACATCCTTTTTCTCGTTATTCCTTTAACACAGATTTACACAGCATTTACATTAGTAGGTATAAATAATACAGAGATCATTTAAAGCACACTGGAGTGTGTATATAGGTTATACACAAATACTATGCTGTCTTATATGAAGGAGTTGAACATTCATGTATTTCGGTCATTGGGAAAGCTCTAGACCAAATCTCCCATGGAAAATGAACAACTACATGTATGTATGAGGGCAACAAATCACTAAGGCTTATTTTAGCCACAGTTCTGTTGTGCTTCTATTACTTGCATGAAGATCTTTGGCATCTGGCCACTGAGATAAGAGCAAGTCTTGGTCTCACTCCCTAGGAAGCACACAATTCCAGGCAAGTCACCCTCTGTACTTTGCTTCCTTCACCTGTAACTACCTACTTATAGTTGTTAGTTTAAAATGAGACAAATCATGTACCCTGATTTTTTGAACAGAGGGTGCTACACAGCAAGTGCTATGTGGAAGGTATTACTGGAAAAACAAGCACGGCAAGACAGTTTAAGACACTGCTGATCTTAAAATCCTGTGTTGCTTTCCACTAGTGCAGGCGACTGGGTGAAGAAGAAAGGAACGTGCTAGTGACTGGTGCTATGAGTAAAATACTGTAATGAGATTTCGGCTTCTAGGAAAGATATATAAGAATTAAGAATGAGTCTACCTTTTTTAAATGAAAAAGGGGAAGTTTTCTAAGTGACAGTTCTTTAATGACACCTGACGAACAAACATATCTTGTCCCTTGGTAGATGAGAAGAAGCTGAAATACAAAATAAAATCCTTACCAAGAGAAGGAGTACTGTGCCAATAAATGTCACCTCCTTTATCAGGTGGAAACTTGTCCAGGGAAGCCCTTGTGGGTTATGCCAAAGCACAGTTGAAGCAGCTGGCATAAAGTCGGCAAGACTGACAAAGGTTTTCTCGGATTTGAGAGCAACCTGAGTGAACGGAGTAACTTTTTACTACAGAAACTCTTGGCTGGGGGTGGGGGTAGACTGGGCACACAGGCTTCATAAACTCACCTCGAGGGCCTGTGCAGGGCACTTAGCAGAGCAAGGGTAAAATGCCTTTAGACAGCGCTGCTGAGATTTACCATTACCCACTAGTGCATCTATCCCTAGGCACTCCGGCTTTACTGCATTCTTAGCCTGTATTTCTGCGATTTTGTGATTCCGGAGTTTACGCTATTCGGAGAGGCCTGGACTACCCAAGGAATCCACAACACGTAAACTAACACACCCCTGCCTGAAACGCAAACGGAGGTCGAGGGCCGGGGCAGAGTACACTCCACTCTTTAAAAAGAAACCGCCTTCGCCGAGAATTCCGATCGTTCGAGCCTAAAGTTTGCAAAGCAGCGTCTTCAGGACTGAGATAAGGACGTGAGAGGGCCCCGCAGGGCCCCTGGACCGCTACGAGAGCTGGAGCTGGTGCGACGCCAGCGCGCGGGGCAGCGGCTGCCCGGGCCGAGGGTCCAGGCCCAGCGCGGGCCGGTGCAGCCCACGGGCTACGACCGACTCGTGCTTTTCTCGCTCATGCGGCCGCAGGGGATCTGCAGGGTGCACAGCCCGACCCTCCCCGGACAGCCACCCGGCCCCGGCCCACCCCGCCCGGGACACGCGAGCGAGTGCCGACGCTCCCTGGCCGTGCACTTGGGGCCGCCGCACTCCCGTCCAGCCCAAGCCCCGACCCGCAGCCCCTCCGAAAAGCTCGGCTGCGCCGGGCAGCCCAGTTCTTACCATAGTGAGGCCAGCGCTGGCCCAGCCACATCACCCTTCCGGGCCCCGGGCGGAAGGGGTGGGCACGGCCCGCCTGTCCTTCTCACGCTCTCCGCCCTCCGATTGGGTCTGTCACGGCACCGCCTCCGGAGCCGAGCGCCTTCGGCGACGTGATAGGTTGCTCTTGCAGGAAGAGGCGGGACTTAGGTGCCGACCGGCGAGCTGCGGAAGTAACCGGAACTTTCATTGGCTACGGATCCCGGCGTTTTGGGGGAGACCGGAAGTGGGGTCACTGAGAGGTAGGACCCGGAAGGGGTGGCGGCCTCTTTAAGTAACAAGTGCTATCTGTTCAATTCTTTTTATTTCCTTAACAACATTTCTTTTAAGCCCTTGATATGTATCCCTAGAACTGCGCAGTGGTGGGCCCCGGGCCTCGCTCTCGGGCGCTCCGGGGCTCCAGGGTCCAGGCCTCGTTGAAGGGCGTGCACGTGGCGGGTCCCCCTTCAATTTCTCTCTTTGCTCTCCTGTATTGGTCGCGGGACTAGCGAAGCGCTCGAGGCGGAGGGCGTGTTCAGTCGGCGGGTCGTTTCCTCCCGTCAGACGCCGTCTTTCCAGCCCCAGCCTCTGGCAGGCTGTCGGCGTCCTGGGGCCCAGGCGCCGTCTGGGGAGAGGAAGGCGTGTCCGCGGCAGCCTTCTAGGGAGCGGAAGTTGTGTAGGCGCCCTAAGGAAAGGATGGAGCGGCAGGACAGTTTGGAAGCCAACTTTTTCTTTAATAAAAAGATTATATTGGCAAGTTAAGTCTTCTTTCCAAATTTGTTTCAGTCTTTCTCATCTTGGTTAACAGAAGCCCTCTACCCTTGATGGCAACCTTTAGAGCTTTCATCGATAACAGCCACCTGTGGCATGTGTACCGTTGAGTTCTCTTTTACTCCCTTTTTATTTTTAATGTTACCTTCGTCAGCAAATTATGCAGGCCTTCTCTAAAATGTACCTAGAACTCAATAATTTTATACCTTTTTTTTTTTTTATTAGTACACTGATTAGCCCGTGCTTGAATTTCTGTTATTAGCTACTATCGTTTTTTATTTGGATTATAGTAATTTTCTCACTGGTCTCCCTGCTTCCCTTAATCCTTTCCTAAAGTTTATTCTCATTTTCACTGTCTAAACAGTGATACGTTTAAAGCAGAAGTCAAAACCTATATGGAGGGGCTGGTGAGATGGCTCAGTGGTCTAAAGCACCTACTTAGAACAAGCTGAGCTAAGCAAAACACAGGGACCACGGTTCGATCCCCAGCACCACATGCCAGCCAGCCCCCGCCCCCTGGTGGGCTGAGCTGGTCACACACACACACACACACACACACAAATAAAAAAAACAAAACAAACCTATATGGAGATGCAAAATTCAGGGGGCAATGTGATGTCCTAGATTGAATCCAAGAATGGAAAAAGGACATCAATGGAAAAACTAGTGAAATCCAATAAAGTCTAGAGTTTAGCGAGTAGTAATGTGCCCATGCTGGTTTCTTAGTGTTATTAAATAAACTTTGGTAATATAGATGTAATATTATAGGAAAGTTGATGAAGGTATGCGGGGCTCTGTTTATCTTTGTAACTTTTACGCAGAATTAGGCCCAAACAAAATGTTTATTACAAAGAATGTAACATTTTTTGCGTAAAAATCTTTCATGACTCCTAATCTGATTCATGGTAAAAGCGCATGTCCCTCCAGTGACCTATAGGACTCTGCAGGAGCTGGTCTTCTCTTACCTCCCTTTACGATGTTGTAGCCAGCGTGGCGTGGCCACTGTGTTTCTTAAATATTCTGGGCCCATTTCTCCCTTCGTGCTTTGTACTGTCTGCTTTCATACTTGGACTATTTTTTTCTAAGAGCTACATACAGGAAGTTCCTTCATGTCTTTCACGCATTTGCTCAACTGTGGTCTCTCAGTAAGGCCTACTCCAGCCTCCCTGCATAATTGCAGCATTAGATTGTCCACTTTCTCATCCTGTTTCTGTACTCAGTTTGTTTTGCCACCTATTTTCTCCTTTTACTGTAGTAATTATCACTATAGTTCACATATTAGTTAGATGTATTTTTAATAGTTTGTCTTCCCCTTAGTTCCTGAAAGCAGGAATTTTGGTTTGTTCTTTTAAGTAATGTTCTAAGCTTTGTCAGAAGCATAGAAGTACTCAACAGATTATGGCTGGACGAATGAACTGGTTTATTTGAATTTGTAATGACTGGCTTTCCATCTAAAATCAGTGAAGAAGGGACTCTTGTAGTCAGCAGATTATTTATTTATTTATTTATTTTGGCAGAACCGGGGATTGAACTCAGGCCCTTGACGCTTGAAAGGCAAGCGCTTATTCTACTGAGCCATCTCCCCAGCCCCAGCAGATTTTAAATGTTGATGACCGTTGGCTGTTTTGGCAAAAATAACAGTGCTGAGACATTTGTTGCCAAATAGAAAAAAAAAAAAAAAAAAAAAAAA